CCAGGGAGTCCTGACGAGGTCCTTTGATGGGGACCGAAGTGCTGACAAACACCAGTTAGTGTTCACCGGCAGCGAGGAGCCCCGCTTCGCCCTGAGCCCTCGCAGGAAGGGACGTGGTGCTCCATCAGCAGCGGTCTCCGGTGACATGCGCTCCCCGAGCGGAGCGTGGCTTTGCAAACTCCGCGTTAAAACAGCGAGGAGGCTTGGGAACTCGGGCCGCCCACGGGTGGCAGAAAAGAAAAAGGGAGGCTCAGACTGACAGGCCCCAAACTTTTCCGTTCTGCGGGACTAAAGTTTCCTAGGCACCTCCTTTTGTTTGCACTTTTTATGCAAAGCCAACGCGTACTTGCCGCTGAAAAATTATAAACAAAAACAGCAAAAGAAATGAATAACAAATAACTATTGCCAATATTTGAGTAGATTTTCTCCTTACCTTTTTCGAGTGCATATTTCTACAGACTGTATGTATGTGAGAGTTTAGATAATATGCTGATTTGTGACTTTTTGGCTCTCTTACCATAGTAATCTTCCCCACAAAGTTAAATGTTTTCCTACGTGCACATTTGATATCAATGTCGTATCTCATCACTCATGCCTGCTTTCTTCAGTCTGCCGACTTCAGACATCTGTTGTAATTTTTTACTGTTATAAACAACACTGTGATGAACATCTTTTTTTTTTTTTTTTTTTAAGTCTTTTTCCTTTTTATCGGTACTGGGAATCGAACTCAGGACTGCCTGCTTGCAAGGCAGGCGCTTATGCCGCTGAGCTAAATCCCCAGCACCCTGTGATGAACATCTTAATGCTTGTAATTTTGCATGGAATTATTATTCTTTCCTTAACATAAACTCCTGGAAGTAAAATTATAAAATCAAAGGCCACACATGTTTTCAAGCCTTGGCACAGACTGACAGAGCTCCCTCTTGAAAGACTGCATTGCATTCTCACAAGCTTACCTGAGACTGCTCTCCACCTTCTCCCTTCATCTCTTCACTCCTGGAAATTATCTTCTTGCTTATTTCAAAAATTTGCCAGTCATATTGACAACATCTTTTCATGTTTTAATTTTAATTTCCTGCATATTTTTTAAATTTCCAGTAAAGACAAATTGTTCTTCATACACTCTTTCACCAGAAACTCCCTTTGGGGAGTTAGGAGTTCTTATCTTTTAGGGACTTGGAATACTGATTTATATGTGTTCCAGATGTTTTCTCAAACTTGTTTTGCTTTAACCTGATAGCTTTTTGTGGCACTTTTTGGTGTCTATTAGTTTATTTCTTTTAGAATGCTTTCACCCACAAGTCACAAAGGAAGTACTTACCAGTGGTCTAAGCAATAGTCATTTCATAAACCCAAAAGCATGGAGGGAGGGGCCCCAGGTTCCTGGTAGCACACACTGCAGCCAGGGCAATCCCAGATCTTTTACTCTTCAACCCAGCAAGCTCTGCACCCTGAGTTTAAATCTCCCATTCATTGTCTCATTGGCTGATGAAATAATCATAGGACGTAATCAAGGCAGGAAGCAAAAGGAGCAGGGACCCCAGCAGCTTTGACCCTTTCCAGAGCTCAGCGAAAGCATTTTCAGGAATAGTGCAAAGTCCTCTTTGATACCACTGAGTCACAGGGCCACCCACAGCCAGAGGTGCTGGGAAAGCAAGTACCCACCTCTGGATCCTTTGTCACACAGGCCCTTGGAAGGGGCTGAGGATGGCAGTTGATGTAGATAGCCAATCTACACAGAGAAGCCTTTAAATTCTACGTAAGTAGTTAAATATATCCATGTTTTTCTTTTTAGTGTTCTCCTTTGTGCCATTCTCAGGCAATCCTGTCCCATTCTGAGACAAATTAAATATCAACACACATTCTCCTATGATCTCTGTAATCAGCTGGACCCATCATCACCTCCATTGATTCATTTATTGTTTGCGATGCTGGAGTTCAAACCCAGGACATAGAAAATTACATCCCCACCCTTTTGTTTTATTTTGAGACTATAGCTCCTTAAATTGACCAGGGAGGCCTCTTCCTGCAGCGGGTATGAATCTTCCTTTTGCATTACAATTTTTGCCACGAATAAGGGGATTCCTTATATTGTTTGCTTTTCTTCCAATAATAAGCAACAAATTGTTCTGGGCATGGTGGTGCATACCCAATAATCCTAGCAGGTATGAGGCTGAGGCAGGAGAACTACTGCAAATTCAAGGCCAGGCTGGACTACAGTGACTTCAAGGTCAGTTTGAACTAAATAGCAAGACCATGTTTCAAAAAAAACAAGGGAGAGAGATTTAATAAGCAACAAATTTTAGAAAGCTAAATAGACATTTGGTTATAGATACAGAGAAACATTTAATTAATTCATGCTTTTGCTCAAAATGTATTTGCTGTTTGTATACTAACGATATGCCATCTGGAATTTATTTTGGCTTATATTAACAGGTGAAAATCAGACTTCCATCATTAAAGTGTTAGTTGTACCAATAACATTTGCTAAATAATCTGCAACTCCCCCCAAAATGTGAAATTTTTCTTTGTATTTCTTAAATATATACAAATACATAGTTCTTAAATAGTTGAGTTTGTGAGAAAGAATTTGAAAATTAAGGTTCATTTAAAAACTAGAACCAGGCATGGTGCCTCATGCCTGTAATTCCAGCACTCAAGAGGCAGAGGCAGAAGGATCACTGCAAGTTCAAGGCCAGCCTGGGCTATACAGTGAAACTCTGTCTCAACAAAACAAAACAAATCAAAACAAAACAAAAAAAAAACTAGAAAAAACACATATTTCTCACTTTTTAGTTTATGCACTTTCTTTTATGTACCGCAGAAAAGTTTTTGTTTAAATTATATATTTTTGTTATAGTTAGTGACTATTGCTGTAATATAGTATTTTTTTAATGTATTACACAGTAATCCTATGTAGTAGCTCCCTTTCCCCATACTGGGGATTGAACACAGGGGCACTCCACCATGGAGCTACATCCCCAGCCATTTTTATTTTCTTATTTTGAGGCAAGGGCTTACTAAACTGCTCAGGCTGATCTAGAACGTTTGATCCTTCTGCCTCAGCCTCCTAGTAGCTGGGACTAAAGGCACCTGCCAGGCCCTGCTTAACTCTTCCTGGTGGTAGGTTTTTCTTAATAGATTAAATTGGGCTTTTCAAATAGATAATTATACTACCTACTAACTGATCATAATTTGGTCTTTTTCTTCCCAATAAATATACCTGATTTATTTTTCTTGTTTTATTGCATTGGCTAAGATTCCTAAAACAATGGCAATAGCAGAAGCACTGGCAGTAAATGTCATTGTATGCCTGAATATTGTGGCTATTTCTACTGTGTCCCATTGTTAAGTTGACTGCTGATGTCAGATATTTAAAAAGGATTTTTCTTAAATTACAAAGAAGTTTTATCACAGATAGATGTTGATTTGTACCAAGTATCTTTGAGCACACCTTAAGATTTTACAGAGCTTTCCTTTTCTTCTTTTATTATGATTCATTCTATTAATACATTAACAGACATTGACATAACTTATTTTCCTTCCGATTCTGGGGATTGAATTCAGAGGCTAATGTGTGCCAGGCAGGTGCTGTTCCACTGAAACACAGTCCTACCCTTTTTATTTTTTATTTTGTTTTTTTTTTTTGTTTGTTTGTTTTTTATTGGTACCCGGGATCGAACTTACGGCTGCCTGCTTGCAAGGCAGACGCTTACGCTGCTGAGCTAAATCTCCAGCCCCTTATTTTTTGATACAAGCTCTCACTACATCACTCAGGCTGTCCTCAAATTAGTGATCCTCTTGCCTCAGTCTCCCAAGTAGCTAGGATTACAGTCATGCACCACTGTACCCTGACACCCTTGCATTTCTATAATAAACTGGCAAATTTCAAGACCATGCTCTGTGGAGTTTAGAGTCCAATGAGGGAGGCAGTGACAGACCTACCACTTTTTCTTGTTAACCCTATCTTTGTATGTGTGCAATGATTGATTGGTTCTTACCCAAAATTTGTTTCCATATTCTCTTATGCTTCTTCCTGTCTTGGAGATGGATTTTTTAAATGTTCTGTGTGTGATTCCTGAAGGCCTTACTTGGAATTTGCTTTTGCAGACTTCAGATTTGTTTTCTAGAAGTGCCTTTCCATTTATGATGCTTGGAACATTTGCTATTTCTGCTACCAAACCCTAATTTGCACAACAGATTTTGGCATCAGAGTTACTCAAGTTCTATAAAACTTGTCTGTCTTATTATGTGTAAGTTCAATTTAAAATAGCATAGGATCCAAATTTTCTTTAAGTTAATAGAACTTTTCTCTAAAGCATGTTCATTCCTAAGTCATCTAATTTATGGACTGTCAATTGACTTACTCAGGCTTCCTTGTTAAGCATGTTTGGATGTCTTTTGATTCTTAACCCTATCTACTCTTACCGATTTTTAAAAATATATGATCATATGGCTGTATCTGGTGTCCTGTGGTATACTTTAATTTTCTGCATCTGAAATAATTTTTTCTTCAGTTCCACTGTTGAACACTTGTGTTTTATGTTGTTTTGCTCTTATTCCTCAAGATCCTTCATTTTGTCTCCCAATCCACAGGGCACCAGGAACTTGGTATTACCTGACCTTCTGATTTTGGCAACCTGGTGGATGTGCATTTCTAGCTCACTGATGATATAATGCGCATTTCTCTGATTGCTAGTTGAACATCTCAGTTGGTACTTCTTACATGTGGGTGCCCCTCCTAACTAGCCATTTATTCACAAAATTACTGATTTTCCCACTGCCTCTGCAGCTTGATACCAGTCTCCAGGAGTACATTGGATGGTTAACTATTAATCCACTGTCAATAATGGCACAAATATTGTCCTTTAAACTTTCTTGTGTCCATAATCCTATTAGCATTGTCCTCCTACGACTTAAAAATACTTCATTTATATATAAGGCAATTCCATTCATTTTTGTGAGTTAACAGTTTAAGAAATCACTTTCATACTCAAAACTGCAAAGAAATTTCCCCTCCACTTTTATTATAGTTTTCTCTTTCGTATTAACATGGTCCATCTTATGCACATGAGGTTGGCTTAGGATGTGGTCTAAAACAGTAGATTAGATATTGGTTTTTTTTTTTTTTTTTTTTTCCTTGAAGTGAGATGATTGGACCATCAGCCTGATAGGTGTTTTGTAACCTGGTAAGAAAGACAATGGTCCTGAATATGGTTTGAGACAGAAGTTTGTGTAACATAATTGGCAGTTCTCCTGGGAAACAGCATTCTCAATTTTTAGATAAGACTCCACTGAGATTAGGAGGTTTTACTCAGAAAGTGTTCTCTGGAGAGGAACCTACTGGCGCTAAACACACCCCTCATTGTGTTTCCCCGTGCAAACTTCTGGGAGAAAGGTCTTTGCAAAGGCTAACTCATGCCCTTCTTTCTGTGTGGCAAGTGTGAAATTAAACTCTGATACTCTGTATAATTGTTTCCTTCAGGATGAGCAGTCTTCCGTTCCTCACACAGACGCATCTCTCAGGTGTCTGAAGGGCCTCTTTGGTAACTGTTTGGAAATAAAAAATGGATAGCGTCACTCTTCACAGGGACATCACCATATCCATTATCATTGTGTGGGCATTTAATTCCCAGAAAGTTTTCAGAATCCTTCTGTGGACTATTTCCCAGTGTCTCCTCCACTCTCCCTGGGATGACGACTGTTTACAAGTGTTATTTTTCTGGTAGTTCTGCCCTGGTTCACCAGGTTGATCTTTCTTTGAGACTATCAGTCCCCATTCTGTGCCTGAGCCCTATATATAGCCAGTGTTTGCTTTTCCTAGAGCAGGGAGCCAATCTGAATATTTGGGTCGAACTACTTAACATCTCTGCACTTCAGGTTCTTCATCTACACAGTGGCACAAGGGTTCATGTTAACAAATGTGTTTTCCAACCATAGGAGTTGAGATGAAATCCTCACCCTCCATCGAATCTGGTGTTACTGTATATTTTGCCATTCTACATTTGAGCTCCAGTGACCTACAAAGATTAAAGAAGCAGTCACAGCCAGAGACAGCACACTAAGAAGCTTCCTCTTCTTGTCCAAGAATTTATTCTTATGTTTCTTGTGGCAGCTTAATGTGAACCAAAGACTGACTTTTTACTTTGGATTCCTCTTATCTCATTAGGTACAACCTCTGCCATGCTCATACATTGTTGCATGTGTCCCTAAAGACCTGTGTCTTGGTTACTTTTCTCTTGTTGCTGAGACAAAATACCCAACATCCAAAATTAAGGAAGGGAAGGTTTAACTTAGCTCACAGTTTGTGGAGGTTTCAGTCCATAATCAACTGGCACCGAGTCAGGGAGGCAGAGTGAGGGAAAGCTGTTCAAGGCAACAGAAGACAGCAAAAGCAACGAGAGCAAAGGGAGAGAGCAAGCCTCTTCTCCTCCCTTATATAGTAAGCAGGCTACCTGCCCTAGGGCATGTGTAACACTCACACCATCTCCGTGCCTTTCTCTTGCACAAGATAAGAATGTATACAAATACTTAGCCCTGCTAAGTCTCTTAGTTAACTGGCTAGACTTTTCAATTTGACACATTTATCAACCATCACAGCCTGCAACTTACAAGCACTGCAGCAGCCTCTTCCTCCTGAGTAGCCTTTTCCTCCCTGCTGCACCGAATGCATGATCAGAAGCACCAGCAGAACTGAGGTCTCCCCCATTCATCTTCCCACCTGCTCTGAGTTAGACATGCTTGTGAGTGACTTCTGCTGGTCCCAAGGTAGCTTTTCATCTGTAGAAAATGCATAAAATGAATGCCCAGGAAACACCTGTGTAGGCGGGCCCTTCTCTCAATCCAGTTGCACCTGTACTATAGCTTAGAGGAATTCCTTGAAGTTTATTGTGTGAGAATGGTACCTTTCTCTGGTTTCCAGTAATAATGGATTTTTATTATAATATTCTTTTGGCAATTTCAATAGGAATTTGGAGCACGGGCTGGGAAGATTGGAATCTTTTAGTCAATTCTGTATTCCCAGCACCTAGTAAAAAAAATGCAGTAAGAATAAAGAATGTGCATGGGATGGAGAAAAGATGAATTAGAACAGTCACATAACTTATAGTCTAAATCAGAGCCCTTTGGAAAATGAAAGGGGATAGTGGCCAGATGTGTAAGAAACCAAGGCCATGTGATTGCCCTGTGCCTAAGGGAGATGGGAAAGAAAAAGCAGAGGCACTAGGGTGGAAGAATGTTAGCGAAACCAATAGGCCTGCATTCAGTGGGATGCTAACTCTGATGCAGAGGTTGCAGTGTGGGACGTTTACTGAGGGATGCTCTTCTTGTTAATGGTACAATGGAGAAAGAAGAAAGTAAAACTGGGTAGAGGGAGACGTTAACTACGATGGGCTCAGGAAGTGCTGAAGGTAACTCTTCAGCCACACGCCAAAGCACAGCAAGGAGCCTGGTCCTCACTGTACCTCCATCAACTGGTCACAGGACCTACGCCGGCCATGGCTTCAGGTCAGGCAGCTTCTTCCCATGGAGGTTGCATCCCAGGGCGATGCAGCTGTGACCCTTCAACAACCAGGATTCTCTGCAGCTGGAGAAATGAGTGCTTGGGTGCTGAAGGAGAATGTGAGATTGCTCACCTGGTGTCCACGACAGCTACTCGGGTGCCACTCAGCCACCTCACTCAGAACCAGCGTTTGCACCTGTCTGCGATGGCTCACTCACCATTCCATGTGGTACTGCTTTCTAGGGAAGCTCAGAGGGACAAAAGCAAACCCGCTGTTTCAGCTGATTTCAAGGCCACAACTCACACCTATGGCCCCCTCCTCAACAGCCCATTCCAGATTCCCCACCCCCAGATAGCCCTTCTCCTGAACTTTCCCACTGATCATCTTGGTGCAGGAGGGCACCAACAGCTCAGCTGAAAGCCCAGCATGGCTCCTGCTCACGTTCCGGTGCAGCTCCCCACCTGCTCCCAGCGTGGAGATCCACGACCTCAGCCAGGAGGCCGAGTCCCATTGCTGGTTGCTCATTGCTTTGCTTAGGGAGCCCCAGTGCCCCAGCAGCAGCCAGCCATAACTTAAAGTGCAAAGGGGCTCCTGCTACGTCCCCTGACAGAGGGATTCTCCTTTGGGAACCAGGACCTACAGACTCTCCTAGAGTTGCAGAGCAAAGAAACCAAAGTTCTTCTTGTGGGCCACCGAGAATGAAGAAAATGGGGCCATTTCTACTTCAACACCCCATTTCCCAGCCCTGCATATTCTTTTTCTTTTTTATAAGAACAACTGAGGGTCCTTGAATTGAAATGTTTTACCTTGTCCGTAATAACTAAAATACTTTTATATATGAAAATAACAAAATGATCCACATGGAAATACCAAATTTTGTGTTTTATGATGGCACCAGCACATAATTATGTTTTGATTATGTCATTCAGTCAGTACTGCTTTGATATGAACACTAAGACCTTTTAAACATATTTCAAGGATTGATACTATTGCAAATACACACACTCATTTGTGTTGCTAAGATACAAATTACTAGAGAGTATTTGATCATTCTAGGAATAACTTGGAAATATCCATAACCTATCAAAGATGTTTCTTTTGCTAACAATTTCACTCCAGAGGTGTGCCCTAGAGAAATAGCCCCAGAAATGTACAAAACTACATGTAGGACTATGTTCTGTAGTACTCTTTTTTAGAAAACTAGAAACAACTCAAGGATTCAACAATGTGCCATAGATAAATTATCTTTCTTGCAAAGAGATACGCAAGTGCTAAAAACAATACATTAGCACTAAAACATGGAGAAATACAGTACCCGATTTTAAAAAGTTGGTAGAACACTATAGATAACATGATACAATTTTAAATTTTTATATTAATATATAAATATATCTCAAACTATATTTTATACATAAGATTTTTTGGTAATTTTTAAAGAGAATAAAATCAAGCAAAATAAAACAGAATAAAGCCAATCAAAATAAAACAGTATGACACAGGACTTCAAAACAAGATAATAGGAAAACAACAGTGGTTACCATAATGCCTCTTGTTGTCTTCCAAATAACTATCCATACCTTTAGACATAGTAAAAATCAAACAAAATAGAATAGAACCAATAAAAACAAAACAATGAATGCAATAAAGGACTCAAAACAAGACAATAGTAAATACAAAATGGCTACCATAATATGTCTTGTTATCTTTGAAACAGCTGCCCATGCTATTAGATATAATAAAATCAAACAAGACAGAGTAAAACCCAACCAAACAAAGCAATGAAAACGACACAGGGCTTCAAAACAAGATACGGGGAATTAACAATGGCTACCGCCTTCAAAAGAAGGAGATCCCCATAGATGCTCCACTGTGTATTGTTATCCTCTGAAAAGATGATCAGACTACTGGCGTTAGGCCCACAAAGTCAGTGAAACAAGCCCTGCATATTCTATTTGTTGGGAACACAGCAACATATAATTGGTCGCTGATCAGAAAGTGCACTGAATCTATGAGGACGACCCTCCATCCTCGTAAGACAGTGCCCTGAAGCTGGCAACTGAACCAGTCAGACCTGCAGCTCCTGGTCTGAGGGACCTAAGGGGTTTATGGTGGTGTCAGTGAGCTCACATGTTCCTTAGATGAAAATCAGGGCTCCTGGTCTGATGGATATTTTGTAGGACCCCACACTGACACATCAGTAGTTGGTACTGAATCATGTTGGTGGTAAGCAATCCGAGGACTTTTCTATCAAGGGCCAGGTTGGTTTATTCATAGCTGCTGCTGGACCAGAGGCTAAGCAGTGGGCATCTGACATCAGCAGAGTCTAGGACAACAGCTGTGAGTGGGCACTCGTGAATCCTGTGGACCTCTGCCACCAGGGTGCTCCTGGGTGCCAATGTGTCCACACTGAGACAGGTGCTTCTTCTTTATGCCTGCTTGGTTGTTAAGTGCTTATCTCCTTCCTCCTGGAGATGCTCTCTGGGGTGCATCAACCCAAGACACAGAGATCTTCACACTTTGTGCTCAGCCCAAGGACCCAGCCACACTCCTCCTCACCTGGCTATTTTTCTCTTTACTTTTTCTTTTACAGTCACGGGGAATTGAACTGAGGCACCATTGAACCTCCCATCCTTTTGAATTAAAAAAAAAATTTTGAGACAGGGTCTCTCACTAAGTTTCTGAGGCCGGCCTTGAACTTGCAACCCTCCTACCTCTGCCTCCCAGAGGTTTGGGGTTACAGGTGTGCACAACTGTGTCAGGCTCACCTGGCCTTTTTTACCCAGTCCTTCTCCATCCATTTGTGTCTAACAAACAGCCATTCCCTTCTATCCACCAGTCCACATGCATTCTTATTTTAAGGACCTCCTTTCTTCTCCACACAAAACTGATGCCCAGGAACTTTCCCCAGTTTTTCCCAGTGAGTGGATTCCCAGGCCACCATTGGTCGTGACAGCTCCTGAGTGGGTGTTGCTGACTTTAGTCCACTTTTGATCTGCATCATACTCTGTGTGGACCCATCTGTGAACCACATCTGGCCTGCTTCCTCCTCCATCATGTGATCAGAAGAACCATCCAGCCCCACACAGCTGCAGTGGGAGTTCAAGGGGAGGCACCAGGCAGTAACAGTGGGTTCTGTGAGGTTTGGCAGTTTGGATCATGGATATGTGCAGCTTTCTGATGCCTTCTGGCAGTCTCACACCCTAATGGCACATCTAGATCCCACAGACACCTCAATTAATTCCATGTGGTCCATTGAGTCATAAGGTCCCTGCTATGGTTTGTGTCTTGAGGTCCCCCCAAAGCTTTATGTAGTCATAGGGGGAGCAGGCTTTTCAGAGGTGACTAGAATGTCTGATGCTGTGATTATGGATGTGTGATCAATCCTGGATTGGATTGGCACCACCCTAATCCCAGGAGCCTAGATAGAGTATAAAAGAGGCAGAAAGATGCTATGGAGGTTGGTTGTGCTGTCTTCTACACACCATGAACTGTTCTCGGCAGAGCCACCCTGAAATGGAGCCAGTTGATTATAGACTGAAACATCTACAAATTGTCAATTAATAAACCTTTCCTCCTTTAACTTTGGGTATCGGGTATTTTGTCTCAGCAAGGAGAAAAGTAACTAAGACACAATTTGGTATCTATGAATTGGATTGTTATTCTGACTGTATCTGATCATATAGTTCAGGAGCTTTGGGGAATTTCTTGCAGGAAAAGTTTAGAAATGTTCAGAGATACTGGCTGAAAAGAGAGCTGGAACATCTTAGTCTGTCCTGTATGGAAAATTTTGGTCTAAGCACAAAAACTAAAAGGCTGATAGAAATCATGCTTGTAAAGACCAGGCTTAGGAGGTTTCTGCTGGTCAGAAGGACTGCATTGGTTGTTAGACTCCAGATGATGTGTATTATGCCTTGATAGATAGTTTGTATGCCTTTTGCTCAAGTCCAGAGTTTTCTGAAACTGAGATTAAGGGAAGTGAACTAATTAATCTGGCAGAAAAAATTTCAAGGCAGTTGAATGTTGAATGGTGGCATAGTTACCTTTGGGGACTTTTAGTTAGATCTATGTTGAGAATCAAGCAAAAGGAGTCCAGCAGAATGATTTAAAACATTCTGAGACTGGCCAGAAAGGAAACTCCAATAAACTCATGCACTGCAAAGATACAGCAGAGGAGATCTTGATTGTTGAAAAGGAACTGGAGAATAGAAAAGATTGCCTGAGGGAATCACAAGAAGTAGTAGGACTTCATGCTTTGCAAACTCAAAATTGCAAAAGTAAAAGACTTTGCTTTAAGAAGAAAGCCACATAGGACCATATTTCAGAACAGGGCAGCCTAGAGAATTTGTTCCTCAGAATTGGATTTAGAGTGCTCAGTAATCCAGGCACTTGACACCTAAGCCAAGAGAAAGGGAAGCCTGGCTGCTGATCCAGCTGGCAGCAGACCTTGGTGTCATTCATATGGCACTGGTTTTAAGTGCATACAGAATGAAACAGTTGTGGGGTCAGGAAGGCTGGCACCCAGATTTCAGAAGCAGGCCTGGGAGGACAGGCAATGTGCCACTGAGAGGGCAGTGTGTGAAGCTGTGAGTGTGAAGTGCAATGTGCAGTGGAGATTCCAGGAGTTTGAAGAAGCCAGGAAGTGCCATAGGCATGGAGCCATCCAAGCCCTTGGGGGTTGACATCTTGCCACAGATTGCCTCAGATGCTGCACATGGAGCTACAGGATTTGATGTTTTCCCTGCTGGATTTTGGACTGGCTTTGGTCACATTCCTTTGTACACCCATTTGGAAATGTCTGTCTTGTACCATTAAATTTTGTCCAGATTGCCCAGATCTCTTCTGCTTTATGACAGAGGGTAAGAAATTGAACATAGCCCGAGGGCACTACTATAGATACATACATTTCTTTTCATTTGCACAGGGGCTCACAGCTAAGAGTTTGCCTCAAATAGAGAAAAATTGGGACTTGGACTTTTCAGCAATGCTGAATCTTTTAGGAACTTGGCAACTCTTAGATGACTTCTGTGTAAAGGAATGTGAATATGAATGTGTTTTTGGAGGACCAGGGGAACAATGTTATGATTTATGTCTAGATGTTCCCTCAAAGCTGCATGCTGTCATGAGGTGGCTGAATTTAGAGTGTGTGATCCTGTGATTAAGGATGTGTGATCAGTTCACTGATTGGTTTGGCACTGCCCTAAACTCAGCAGCCTTGATCGAGTACAAAAGGAGCAAAAAGACACCAGT